AAAAAAAAAAAAATTATGTGTGCCAGCACACATCCCCTTCTTCAGGCTACTGCTGCCTCTGTACCAGTACAGCAGCAGCTTGGAGCGCTCTATGCTCGGACTGCTCCCTTACGGTCAAGTGCTGATGAATTAGAAAAACGTAATAAAGAAAACTTCCTTTGCTCATTACTGCTTTGATTATCTGTCTTCCTCTTATGTGCCAACACGCAGAGCATGCTGGGTTTTGTTTTCCTTACAGCTTTAAGAGATCAGAGGTACAAACTCATCCGTTACTCAAAGGATGAATTATCCATCCGACTGTCAAATGTAACAGTGCAAGATGAAGGCGAATATAAATGTTTCTACTACGGCATCCCATTCAAAAGCAAGCAAGAGACTGTTGAAATACTAGGTAAGATCCTTCACCTGCTTTGCTCCAGAAGAGCAGAACAAAGCCAGGTCCTCAACTCCAGACCTGCATTTTTACATACAATTGTATGGTGCTTAACACTATTTTGAGCTAAGACCAGGATTATGTTGTGTTATGTAGGCAGCCATTCATAAAGTCAAGTAGAAAGACACACTATAACTGATTCTAAATCTTCTTGCTGCAGCTGCTCCTTCTAATCCAGTACTGGAAGTATCCCAAGACACACAAAGAGAAATTACACTGTCTTGCTATACCCAAGGCTGTAAACCACAGCCCCGGATTACCTGGCTATTGGACAACGGGATAGAGCTCCCTGGTAAGTGTTTAAGGACCAGAGATGGATCACTGACAGTTTCTTCTTAATGGCCTTGGGCACGTTGAAAAATACTGAAGGGTGAAACACATCAGCTGTTATTACCATACACCCTCCCCTCACCCAGTACAACTTGGCCCTTGTGGTGAAGGTTTGGAGAAGCACTAAATTCCCGTGTTTGTGTAAGGGAGAGGGCTCATCCGCTTTGCTTGCATTCAGCGCGGAACAGCAGCGCTTGGCACCAAAATCCCCCGAGAGTCTGGAGTGAAATGCCAATGAAATAAAATGAAAACAAAACTCTGGAGGTGCAGTTTTCAAATCCCCAGTATGAAGTCAGTTAACAAATCCATTATAACTCTTTCCAGGTTGTAACCGTTGGGCAGGTTCTCTCCGGCTCTGCTGAGCAGCTCACACACCTTTCCCTCTCACCAGCCTGTTCAGAGCCAGGCAGCTCGCTGGCAGAAGCAGGAGAGCTCAGGAAGCACAGCCCACACCCCCTTGCAATGCTTTCCCCAGCAAGAGGTCTGCACGCATCCGGGTGGACGGACACGGGCAGGAACAGAGCCACCACGTAGCCCAATTTAACCTGTGCGCTATAGAATCAGCTGCTTGAAGGCCACATTCTAATAATAACTACCCCGTTAGATGCAAGTGCAGTGCCGTGGGGAGGAAACACACATCTGTATCAAAGCGTGAAGAAAATACCATAGATGCAAATGTATTTTCTCACACATATGGACAAGTTCTTATTTGCATTTTGCATCAAGCAACATAGTCAAAGCTTAGCCTGTAATCTTCCACACAACACCCCCATACTAAGATGTTTTTTCTTGGACTAAAAGCCCTAGAAGATAACAGAATTGTGCTGGCCTGAATATAGCTAGAAACCAAGACTAAAGAAAAAATCCAGGCTGCGAGATACACAGGCATTAAAGCAACCACATAGAGCCCCTATGCTTAAGGGAGTGCACTCGGAGGAAACAGCATAACTGGTAAGCAAGCCCCACAAAAGCCAGGGCAGAGAGCTACTTGCAATTACAGGGGGAAAGGTGCTCTGAAACAGTTCATGGGTCCTGGAAAAGCAGGTTCTAAAGTTGCGTATGTGCTTGGGAAGCGCTGGGCTGTAAGAGCTTGGGTGAACACCAGCTGAAGTTAGGAAGGGGCCAGGGAAGCTGTATGTCTCCTATAAGCTTTTATATACATTTTTCCCAGTCTTCCTAAAACAGGAGTTTCCTTGAAACAACCTCAGCTCTGGCCTGATAAAATATATTATTTGTAACATCACAACACACAGCTCAGACACTAAACACCTCCCACAACACATGAAACCAGCCACGCATCTCTCCACTTACTTGAACAAAAAAGACATACTTACCTTTATCTCTCCCTTGCCTTCATGACCCTAACAGCAGTGAGAAGTACCTGACCACAACCACAAAAAAACCCCACCTTCTCAGCTTTAATCAATTACTGCAAATATTTATACTTATCAGAAAATAGCTAATACATCTTAATTACTGGCAGCACCTCAGTTTCACGAGGGCTCCAGAGGGACAAACCAGCTGTAAGTACTGAGCTGTTGCTGATAAAGATTATTTCCTTCCTAGTAAAAACACTTTGAAATCCCCTTGAGCTCTTAATGTGACCCTGCTAGGGATGGAAAAGACAATTGACAAATACTGGCCACTGTGATACAGCAAGTTATCCGTAAAGGCTAATTTGGAAACAAAGAATTTCTTTCATTTAACAAGAGAAAGCATCAGTTTGTTTCCAGAAAACCTCTACACTATAAGCTGACAGTAGAAATTATTGTGCCACTATGGACATTCAAGGTAAACATCCAAAATAACCTCCCTCCCCACCAGAGCTATTCGAACACGTGTCTCGGTGTCACTCAAAATACATCTTTATTTTCCCATACCATATAAATGAGCAGAAGTCAGTGTTACCTAGAGGACTCAGAACTACATCAGACAAGTTACACGGCTCTCTCTTAATTCATTATGGCAAGGCAATTAATCTTTATGTTTAACTTTCCCCAGCTGCAAAAGGGGAAGAGTCAAACCTGCACTGCAGGGATGATAGAGGACTTGCACCGGATTTCATAGAGCTATATACATGTTTATTTATTACAAATGTAAACATTGCACATCAATATTTATTGTGCGTATTTATCAATATGCACAAAAGTTGCACGACTTCTTTTTCTGTTTGGGGTAACAAATCCACAGCTATTAAGACACAAATTCAATGCCCTTGGATACCACACAGTAGAATCAGAAGTTTTCTAGACCTCAGTCCTGCTGCAAAGCAGCAGGTCCCTGCCCTGAGGGTCCCCGCTGCGGGCCACACGAGGCTCTGGCACACAGCAAAGCCACTTCTTCCGTTCAGGAAGGACCAAAAGTGCTGGTGGGTGTTTGGACATTTTGCTGTAGGGGAAATTCCCCATGTGAGTCACAAAACCCAGCAGAGGCTTTGGGTTGAGTGCAGGAGGTGCAGCGAGGTCTGCACTTAACTGCTGAGGAGGAAAACATGACGTGGCTGCCTTGGGCTCCCATGCAATCCATTTACACAAGGAACCACTTCTGCACAGTAATCAGGTGCTTAGCACAGCAAAGTAATGCAGATTGCACCTGGAAGGCTTTTCATTAAATTGCTCTTGAAAGCACTTAAATGTTTTCTTCCAATGGGTGTACAGGTGACATGAAGCACAAGTTAGAAGCCGATGGGAAGAAATGGACCACAACCAGCACGCTGACAGTCCTTGCCTATGGGCCCAATTCAACAGCCAGCTGCATCATTCACCACCAAGCACTAAGAGAGGAGAAGCTGATGGCATCTTTCTGGTTTGAGAACCTCTCCAGGACAGGTACCGCAGGCTCCTCCAGCAGAGTCGATCCCATTTTACCACTCTGAAGTGTTGAAAGTTACGCAGATACATGTGCAGAACTGAAGCCCATAGTCTACTGCCCCCTTTTAAAATGCAAGGGCTACAGGGGGCAATAAAAGAACCCCAAACTAAGATATTGAGGCTTTTTCCTGCTTCTTAACTACCTTAGAATTCATTGAATTTTAAGCCACAGTAGCCCAGGCACGTCAGTTCCCCAGTGCTGCTGCTAGAATTCAGGTGATGTTTGTCCTAAAGCTTTAAAGGTAACTCAAAGTTTATGTTCCCAAAAAGCTGTGAGCTTCACATGTCTTCTGCACATTAGACACATCCGCCTGGAAAGCTAGGAGGGTGTAAATATTGTAAATTAACACGGAAACTGCCTGTCTAACAGTTCTCAGAGTTTGCCTTCCACCTATTTACTCATCTTTAGGACGGACCTAATTATTCTTACTTCATTTTTGCTTAGATTGCTTGACTCAACAAATGCTTATAAAGTGCTCTCAAAGTTGTACTACTGTTTGTTTTTTTTCACTGACAGAATCAAATCCTGCACCAGCATCACTAGAGGTGGATACCCGTGTCTCTGAGAACCAGCAATCTACAGGTAGGCATTAACTGCTTGGCCTCTTTTTAATCAATGCACAGGTCAGGTAAACACAGCACCTATCACCAGTTGCCATCAGCACTGAGGGACATTTTGCACAGCCTTCAGAACTGCTTTGTTTTTTTCCTCAGTGACCACAGCAGTGTCAGATCTGAACAGCAGCACCGACTCCACTCCAATCTACCCACAGCATACTAGTATGGGTTTCACTTTCATTTTTTAACTCATTTCATAGCGTTAAATATGTTCAGAGGATAGGGAAACTGAAGGTGGGAGGGTAGGACTGTAAGTGTAACCCCTGATCAGATAAAGCAACCAGACCAAACAGCCTGGAGCGTGGAGCATACAGGGCAGGTTTTGTTTTTCAAGGATCAGTTCAATGGCAAAGTGTGTCTTCTGATTTTTTTCATGTGTCTGGGGAGGTGTTCCTTTAGGATCCGAACAATCAACCATTCCTTTTGCAGTACCAGAGGGTCCAGTAGTTACCAGCTCAGCATCAACACCAACCCAGCAAAACCTCCAACCAACCCAGCAAAACCTCCAGCCAGATGTCACATCTACTTGTAAGTTTGGTCTTAAGTTACATGAATTTACCAAAACAGGACAGAAATGCTGCCAGGAACAGCATCAGCCAGACCAACCACTGCCGCAGCACGGTGATAGCCCAGGCTGGGATTCCTCTGGACGGCCGCAGTAGGTGGCACTGTGCAACAACAGTTATCTGTGCAGATAGCAGGCTGCAGTTATTGAACTGAGGAATTGTTTCCAGCAGAACAATGACGAGCTCCACTGCCCAAATCACTTGGTCAACCAAAACACACCAAGATGGGTGCACGCACCTGCTCAGTGTGACAGGCCCCGCAGTGATAACTCAACCGGCTGTTTTAGAAATACTTGAACTACCTGTTTATATTTGTTTAAAAGTGCTACATGAGTAATTACAAACGTGACAGAAGGGCTACATCCTGATTAACAATTCATACCTATGTTGATAAACACACATGGAGAGGGAGCCTGAGTCTTTGAGCAGGACTTTTACTAGGTGTGCTTACATACCTGATGAGGAAGAAAATCTCTTATGAATGTAAAGTTTTGGTAGACACAGCATGCTTTATCATTTCAGTTTCACAAATCCAAGTTAATTATACAAGAATATATTCTCTGTGTGCGTAAGCAAGTCAAAGCTCACCTGTCTGTTTGCGCAGGGTCCGAAGTTACACCAACTGCACCAGACCAGGAAGAATTGTCTGCTTCATCGAGTTATCGTGTCCCCAACGGTATGACCGTAACTCATCACACATGGTGTGGCAGTGGCAAAGGACGGCGATTCTCACACTGGGTGACTGCACCACTGTGAGCTATGGAGACAGTAAAAGAGTAGTCAGGGATATAAATACGCCCTAAAAAACCATGCTTTAAGGAAAAGGATACGTGCTCATTCCAGGTTCTGCAAGCAAACTGATGGACAGGGAAAGCCGTGGACTGACCAGATCAGCTTTGTTTGAATTTGGCTGTAAATGGGAACCACTGAGTTCAAGAATGTGTAAGAGTGAAGATTTTCTGTTCATAAAGCTTAGGCAGTCCTCAGATTAAAATTAAATACAGTGTTAAGGACGTGAGCACAGAGCTTTAAGTCAAGGGCTCCAGAAGCCCCTTTCTCCAGCAGTACCAGGTGCCCTGGACTTCAAAGCTGCTGGGAAAATATGCATTTCTTAAATATCCCTTTGCCCTTCAGAGAAATACTGTTCTTTCCATTTCTCCAGGGACTGAAACAGCATTCAGTGGCAATGTCGCAGAAGTGGAAATTTCCAGGACAGGAGCCCCACTGCCTAGTGAAAACGTAACTGTGATTTCCACCATCACCTTCGGTACGAACTCTTCAGTGACAGCTTCCAAACATGCAACGGGCTTTCTTGCACTAAGCTGGTTCTCCCTGACCACGTAGGCACCTCCAAACCTTTTGTCAGTACACTAGGGTAATGCTGGCTGGCAGCCTTGGGGAGAGACCACAAAAACACAACTGGTTTTATTATCTAGAAAAAAACCCTAAATTTTACTGTTTGTTGTGCCAGAGCACGAGTCCACTGATTTCAATCAGTTCTTCTTCTTCATACAAGAAGAAAAAAATTGACCTCACATCCTAAAATTAAGTCCATTAAGATGACTTCTGCTCGCCATCCATCTTCATCCAGCCTGGTTTAGGATATATCATTCTTGTCTTAATTACCAGAGACTCACAGGAAGCTGTTTAACAATACAGGCATATACCTGCCTCTTTTACAGAGCAAGATCTGAAATCTGAAGGCACCAAAAAGAAGGAGAATAATCTCTTGCTGCCAATCTTGGTGGCTGCTCTGATTTTCGTGCTGCTCATCATTCTCGTGCTCTTCATGAAGAAGCTGAAAAAAGCTCATGGAGTGTGGAAGAGAGGTGGGTGATGACCCTGTCCAAGCGACCACTGATGCTAGTTTATTCATGAGGGGCTGCAGAGCTGAGGAGCCTGTTAAACAGAGACAAATCATGGCTCCTCCAGCCACTGATTAAATGTCCTTCTTCCATAGACAGTGACTGTGACTTAGATTTCTAGAATCTTTTAGGTTGTAAAAGACCTTTTAAGATCAAGTCCAACCGTTAACCCAGCACTGCCAAGTCCACCACCAAACCATGTGCATAGAATCACACAAACTTTTAGGACTGCAAACAACTGTTGAAGAGTCCCTGTAACTGATGGCCTCAGGCCATGCTCCAGCTGACACAAAAGCCAAAAAATCTGTTGTCTTAAGCATATCTCTTAGATAGTCAGGATGATAGAATCTCCATTTTATAACTAGTCTCTCAGGATTTTTACGCTCAAGGCAGAGAGTGAGGAAGACTCATGGAAAAACCTCATCATCTTAATTACATGTGTTTTCTGCACAGAAAATGATGTTTCAGAGCAGACACTGGAGAGTTATAAGTCCAAATCTAATGAAGACAATCCAGGCCAGGAGAAGAACGGACACGGTAAAAAGCTTTAACCAATGTAAACTAATTCCTGTTAGAGCATCGCTACAAACCACAACCACAGCAGATTGCAGTCAATATTACTAAACAGAGATATTTGCATATTGCATGTTTTAAACCTGAATAGTCTCAACCCAAACCTTTCATAGCTGGAAGTCCACCACAGGTATTATACCTTCAGTAAGAGTGATGCAGAACCATACAAAATGAATATCATTGCTTTTTATTTGATAGGTTACACTGGATAATCACCATGGGTTTATCTAGTTTCTAAATATAATCTACTGAAACACTATTAAAAACAATATTTGTGGTATGTACCAGAAATGCTACTGGTGTTAAAACTGTCCTGAATGGCTCTTAGCTGATTTCCCCTCCAACAAAACACCCATGCTGCATCAACCCCCTCAGCTGGGGTATATCTGCTCCACACTTGGACTTTTGTCTAAAGAAAAGCAGTTTTCAGTAGGTGAATAAGCCCAGATACCAAGAATGAGGGAACTTTGCCAACATTTTTCAACATGAGTTTATTGCAGCACCTAAATAGTATTAAAAGAGAAGGGGGCTCATAATTATTGTCAAAATATTTTCAAAAGTTTCCTTCTTATTCAAGTATTTTGAAATGCTTTATTTAAACCATTTCTAGTGCAAAGTAGTGCCTTAAGCATTATGTAATCTGCATTAGGTCACATCATGCATCTCAGTCTTTGCTGTGATGGATGCCCTAACAATTTCTAGGAATGCATGTCATCTTTTATTGTTCTATAATGCTCTAATTAATATGTATTTCAAGCCAGTGCACCCCCTCTCCCCTTTACAAAATCGGTAATAAATGTGTGCTTATCTTTCAGTTGTCAATCAGAAGCCCAACGTGCAATATGTAACAGAAGGATATGTAGAAACTACGCAGAAGAATCCAAGAGACACAAACATTGCAATAAGTGAGAAAATGTTCAGATGTGGAAAGGAAACAGATGTGTAGCAATGGCAAATCTGCACAACAGGCAGAAACACCACCGTTTCCTGATACTTACATTACAGTGTTCAGATATCAATATGATTTCAAGGAACAGAAATGCAAACACCTACTCTTGATCCAACAGCCGATTGGGACTGCTTTTCTTTAAACAGCGGGACAGGCAGGTGGGACGGGTGCTCCTAGAAACTTGTTAGCAATGACCACACCGATTTTAAATCCTTGGAGGATTTCATTAACCATTGCTGGAAGTAGAGCTCATCAATGCCATCACAGGCCCTATCAGCAATTAGGGTCTTGGCAAGGCAACATGTAATTAATTAGCCCTGAGGACCACAGGGTATGAAGATATTCATGTTGTGCTTTGGCCACCTCCTCCGCAAGCGTGGGCCAGAGCAGGAGACCCTGGGAGCTGCAAACCAACCCGGACTTGGATTAGCTCATTCTGATCCCACATCTGGACATCCAGTTTTTCACCCAGCAGGAAAGCATCCTGATGTCCAAAGCGTTCTTCCCCCTTTCTAGGATTTCTGCCTCAGTTTCTCACCTGTACGGTAACATCACTCTGCTCTGCACGGCTCCATCAGCACCAGTCTGCAAGGAGTTCCGAAACCAAAACATTTGGGTGCCACAACTGTAGAGTCTCCCACGTCCCCTAGGCTTCCAGAGGCGTTACTGGGAACATGGAAGGCTTCAAACAAGGGGCTGGCAAACGTGAGGAGGAGGCGTGATGTCACACGCAGGACACCCCAAATCCAGGAACAAAGTCATTGCCTGCCAGTAGACGAGCTAGGAGAATCGCCTCAACAACAGGTCTGCAGAGCCCCGCCATCACCGGGAACTTTTTCTGTGGCGGAAAGACAAAACTGGATTCCTCAAATAAAGAAAATTTACATTACAGCAGAAAGCTGTGCTTATTTTTCTCATTAGAGACTATTTATTCTCATTAGCGATTATTATTTCTCACTAGAAGTAAGAAAACCGCTGAAAACTGGTTTGGATACCGAATTAAACAACAAGGCCTCATGAGGCGCCTGTCGGGAATATTTTCATTTTCAAGCGGAAAGCAACTTGGCGCGCAGGCCCTCGCCCGGCCCGGGCGCTACCACGCTCCTCCGGCGGGGGG